CAGAAGACAAGCATCTCATGGAATCCAATAATTCCCCACCTCCACGGGGTTCAGACCCTCTCACAGCTTGTGCGCCAACGACCTCGTACAAAGCTCCCATCCTTTCCACCAGTCCCGCAGGTCCAGCAGAGGCGAATCCAACCGCTGCGATCCCACATCAAAACTCGCGAACGTCCAGCTTAACAAACATTTTCCATTCTCGCGTCCCCAGCGCATCCACGGGCATCAACGGTCACAGACGCAGCGGGTCAGCTGCCACGGTTGCAGTGTATGATGGCGGAGACACTTGGGGCGGTGCAAATAGGAGGCTGGTGAGAAAGTTGTCGAAGGTCGAGCCGGATGATGGGGATGGAAGTGATTGGGCGTCTGAGGTTGGTTTATTTTTCTCAACTTGCGAGGCAGAGGCGGGTTAATGGCTATAGGTTCACCGCTAAAGGGATGTTTCATTTACAATTTTCGTTGCGGGAAATCTACAGTCACAAGTTGCAGCTCGCTCCACGTCTCCACCTCCTCTAGCAGCGTTCGTCCGAGATAAGTCGCCCGTATCATCTGCGGCCGGGCTCAAAGCGGCCACCCGAAGCAGAGCCATTTCAAGCACTCCGACGGTTGCTACAGTTGTGGGGCCCGGGGGTGGTGGGAGTTACAATGACGGCAATGGTAGCACGGTAAGCCAAAAACCATTTATCGTTTTGCCGTTTTGGCAAACAATGTTTTTGAATGAGCAATCCAACGCTACAGGACTGGGCAGCATCAAACTATCAATACCGGGATGCGGTGGGATCAAGCGCGACACTGAATCCAGCAGTGCACATTCATCAGTATGACAGGATCGGGAGTGTGATGAAATCCTGTGCGGTAACAGAGGAAGTTGAAGGTGAAGGTAAGCAACTGCGATTGCGCGTGCAGTCGTTCAGAAAACTTCAATAATTGAGAATGGACCCTGTGTTCAAAAAAGATCCCACTGTTCCTCCAACAAACACTGGAAGTACCCCGCAAACAGCTCATCAATCTGCAACGCGGGTTCTTCTCCGTACGGGTCAGCACACGTATCTCCTCGGCCACGTCCGTCACCGCATCAACTCGAACCCATCCACCCAAACGTCCACCACCTCTCCCATTGGGATGACCACCCTCACGGCGTCGTCAGCCTCCGGATCGGCCTCTCCTTTTACCATCTGTTCCGTTCCCGGCTACAGCCGTTTAGCGACTCTACCAACCCCATTCACGACACATTTGACCCGCGGCCCCAAACCCGTGTACCCTTCCTCCCCGTGCATCGTCAAAACTCCATCGTTGACATGGCATTCTGGCCGCGTTCACACCATCCTGAACGCCTCCACGGTTCTCGTAAGGATTGACGACGGGGTGGGCACGATGCTTGTCAGTGGGGTGGGTGATGTGGTGCCGGCCGAGTGCGGGAAAATGGCGATAGTGGAGGTGAAGGATAAGGCGGATCGGGAGGTGATGTGGAGAATTGGACTTGGATGTGTGGTTGAAGGGGTGTGCGCTGCGGTGGTGACAGTGTGGGGTGGGAGAAGTGGGGATTATACCATGAGGGATGATACGATATTAGCAATCCGTAAGTCGTCAGCGCGACACGTTTGAGGTCTTTAAAGTTGATGATGACCAGCTAAACATTGGTTTCTTCTTTAACATGGCCGCTCCAGTTCAGCCCGCCGCATCCGGAATGACCCTCCTCCTGTCCCTTCACTCTTTCTACACCCTCTTCTCTATCCCAACCTCCTTCCAAAGCACAACCCACGCCCTCCTGACCCACAAAGCGATCGCCCTCTGCACTCTCGACCTTTTCTCTCTCGCATCCCCAACAACCTTCCGCCTCGCCCTCACACTCCCAACAGCCCTCCTCCGCCTCGCCCAGATCCTCTATCTGAACTTCCACCCCCGGACCCGTCTCATTTCCACCCAAATCACCCGGCACCTCCACACCACATTGCCGCCACCACTTCACCACACTCACACACCGAAAACGTTGCACACGCATAACCCGCTATCACCGCACCACTTCACCGTGCTTTCGTTAACCCTCCTGGCATCGTTCTTGACGTTATCGGCCTTTGAATTGTACCGGTGCTTGACCAACCAGAACCCTCTGCTTGGCTTGGCAGATATGGACGCGTTGAGGACGGCGGTGGGTGTAGAGATGGCAAAAGCTGGTGTGAATCCGGGTGGGGAGGCGACGGGAATGAAGGCTGTATTGGTGATATTGGATGGGCTGCGAGCGGATTGGACTGAGAGGAATCCCAGGTTTAAGGAGGTGGTGGAGGGGGTGAGCGCGGATTTGGTTAAGGTTCCTATGAAGGTCAGTAATCAACAAAGCCCCTTGATTTTCAGGTGGCGGTTGATTTTTGGGGGTTGCGATATAAGGAAACAAATCATTGAATGATCCATTCTGTTGTTTCCACCCCTTAGGTCCAACTCCCGTCCATGTCCGTGCCGAACTGGCTTACTTTCCTTACCGGCAGTCCCCCCTGGATGACGGGCGTAATGGGTAACATGGCCGTCCAAAACACGGCGTATGATAGCATCTTCTCCCTTGCATTCGAAAATAACCGCACCGCCGGGTAAATATTTCCTTTGGAATCTTCCTTGCGTGTCATCGGGCGTCCTGAACACCATTCTCTCTCGTTTCTTGGTTTAGACTGACCGGTTCATCCTGGTTCGCCGATCTGGTTGAAGGGTACCTGTCTCTCACTGCCAGCGGCACCAACGACGCATCCTTTGCGTACCATCAAGAAAACATGACCAATGCCCAGTTTGCTGACACGCAGAGGGCCGTGGCGGTCGAAGACATTATCACCGGAAGGGTCGGAAAAGGATACGAATTCTATCTGGTACATTATTCTGATGTGGATGAGAGGTAAGCGCGGGACAAGCTCTTTTGACGTTTTAAGTGTCCAAGAGCTAAGCTTTGAATTCTTCCTCTGTGAAGGGGACATTATTCGGGCGTCACGACCCAGTACAATAAATTCAACACGTATGACCAGGCGGTTACGGATAAAGCTAATGCCATACAAAATATTTTCGAAAACGTGGACAATGATACGATGGTATTTGTGGTTAGCGATCATGGGCATGTTGGTGGGTGCTTTGGCTTTTCTTTGGATATCCTGTTCATCCTCATTCTAATGGAATTTTTTTCCCTTTATCAGATTCGGGAGGTCATGGAGGCGTCGATCCCCATCTAACAACCACGTTCATGATGGCGTACCAGCGAAACTCGAATTTGAGCTCACGGTTCAATTACACTGGCGTGGGGATTCACTCGGTCGACGTTGCGCCCACCATTTGTGCGACGATCGGTAAGTACGCTGCAGTGGAAAAGAAAGGGCCGGGAACGATGGTCTGAACGTCTCTTTCTTTGTTTGCTCTCTTGCGAATCAGGTCTGCCGATGCCCGCAAATAGCATTGGCAGCATTTTCACTCCTCTTACGTCTCTCTTCCTTTCCAACCCGTACCCGTCCCTGTCTTCCTCCTACTGGACGACCCAACAACGAGGACTTCGCGGCACGTTCGATTCACTCCTGGGCACGCGATTCTCCCAGAGTGCGCCCTCCTCCACGTCATTGATTGACACGTCGATTGATTTTTCGGAAGCCGTCAAGGCCGCGCAGATGCGGAACGTGTACGGCGTCGACACAGTGCTTGCCATATTGTGGGCGGTCGTGGCGAGTGCCTGCGCTTGTATGATTGTGGTTCGGTTGACCGGCTGCGAGTCGTTTTTGGTGGTTGTTGCGAGGCAGGGTGTCAATATGTGGAAGGAAGGGTGGGGTGCGAGAAGGGTCAGATACAGCGCTACGGCAACCATGGAGGGAGATGGGAGGAGTGAGGCCGATGGGAGGGGCAGCGTGGAGGAAACCAGTGCAAAGGTTCCGGAAGGGGGACCTGGCAGCGGCAATGATTTTCTGGCTGTTGGGGTTGCGGCACTGTCCGTTGTGGCATATCATTTGGTTACCATTGTTGCGTATCTGCTGGCATGGAGATTTATGGGCAAATTTGACTGGGATTCGACCGTGATGCATCACCCTAAACGTAAGTCTACATGCAATTTTCTTGTCTTTGAAAACGTGAAGGACTGACACTTAGTTCAACGAATCCATCATTCAGAAATAGTACCAGTCGCTTGCACTGTGTTCATCCCCGGCATTGTTATGGTATACTTGATCAATCGCTACCTCGATTACACCTACAATTATGCTCCACGGCGAGTTTCGGATACCATCTTCGACGACGCAGACCTGGAAAAGAACTCTCCTACTTTGCCAAGTCCAGCTTTGGCGACGACCCAGACTCCAACCACGACGCGCAGCGCTCGTCTGCTGCAAACGCTTCGCCGCATCATCATCTTTCAATTTCACCCGTCTCCACCGAAAAGCCACCCGCACCCTTCGTCTTTCTCGACAAAGATCCACATACACGCGTTTACTCTACACATGCTGGTCCTCTTCTTTCTTGTGGCGTCCACACCATTTTTCTCTGCCATCGTGACATATGCAACGCCGCGATTGGCACATGTGGATGAAGGGAGTTGGGTTGCGAGGTTTAGACTTCTTTGTGTGTTGTTTTGGGCTGTCCCTGGATTGGCCGGGGAGGCGTGGTCCGTTAGACGGGCACTGGAGAGGGGCAAATGGGTTCCGCTGTGTGTGGGTGAGGTGAGGGACTAAACCATTTTTAGGAGGCTTGGCGGCCGGAGGGGGGTTATTTCGTACTTTTTTTCTCAAGTGGTTCAAGTAATGTAAGTAGTTTAATGTAGTAATAAGTAGTAAGTCTAGTTTTTGAGGTAGTCGGTCATTTTTGGGCTGGGTAGTCGGTCACCATAAATATCTATCGACGGTGGCTCTCGGACTCCTGCATCTCCGATATCTGGCCTGGTTTGTCTGCGACTTATTGTATCCTTGCAAGTAAGCTCGGGAAAGTCGATGAGTTTTGATCAAAACATGCTTACCCGTGATATAAGGTAACAATCCCAACCTTACCAACAAGGGTGTTTGGCCGAGCGGTTTAAGGCGCCACGTTCAGGTTCGTGTAATACACGTGTTACACACGAAAATCGTGGTCTCGAAAGAGGCGTGAGTTCGAATCTCACAGCACCCAGTTCGATTTTTTTTTTTCTGTCTCCAAGTCTTCATGGAACTCACGTACCGATTTCTCTAATCTGGCAGAGCCGACGTGAACGAAACCCATGGAACGTACCGTCGTTTTCTTATCATGATTAATTGTAGTGGTATTAAACAGGTTAAGATAACAAAAAGCGAATAAATATCCCAAATCTCCAACATTATTTCCTATATTTGCAAGATCAAGCAGGACTCTTTCCTTTGGGCGACCCCGGGTGCTTCATTCCCTCCCGAACCTGCGTTGGCGGTAATGGATCAGTGAAAAAATGGAAAGTCCGTCCTCGGCTCCCCGAAAGGATACAACATGGACAAGCTCACCTGCACAATGGTATCTAGTAGTTTTCGACTCTCCTCCATCCGCTCCTGTCCTGATCCAGTTGGTGACGCTAGTGTTTCCTTGCCTGTTGGCGATGCCTGCGCTGGACTATCTCGCGGAGTGCGTTGTGATTGGCGGGATGATGTGCGGCTAGTCTGCATGGCAGCAGGTGGTTGTGATTCTGTGCTTCTGCTTGGGGTTCCCGTCATGCCTTTGCTTGGCGTCTCAACCTCCGTGGTTCTGCTGGACGTCCCAGTTTTCATGGTTCTACTCCAAACTCGTCCCCTGACTGCCCCCCTGATCGTGATCTCGAAAAATAAGCACGACTATGAGAACTTCCAGGCGACATTTAATGGCGCTTACCGACTCGACTTGGACTGAATCTTTAGTTTCGCCAAAAGCTCTGGTTGTTAGCCATTAGATCCACGGTTCACAGGATCCAAATGCGTACATGGAGCGTTGTCATCCTTACCATCCGCAATCGCATCGTCAGACGATGTCAGAATATCGCCTCCGTTTGTGGTAGTGGACTCTGCCTCGCTTCCACCCAATTCCGCCTCCTCCGACACTCTGGTGTGCGATCGTGACGTGCTGCGCGTCCCGACTGTTGTTCCTTTTGACCTTCGGGTGGTCACCACATGTTCACTAGCTTTGAAGCGACGCTCAATTTGTTCCTGTCCATCGAATTTGATAACTTGAACCGCTTGCTTGTCTGTAGCCAAGGTTGTCTTACCTCGTACTTCCTCAGCTGACGTTTAGTACTTTCAAGCTCATCCAGAATTCGCTGCTCTAAGTCGGATTTTGGCCCAGTGTGTACCTATTCCACGATACTCTTCATTACATGGATCAGAGCCAACGAGTTTGTTGCCCAACGCAACATACCTCGCCTCCAAGACGCATTAGATCCTCCACAATACGTTCTTTGTTTGCCAGTAACTCCTTCAGATCTGCCACCTCACGTCGCAGATCGCCACACAAATCCTCAGACTGCATCAAAGCTATGCCATACTGAGTGTTAGAAAGGAAAAACCGAGTCACAATCGACCTGCCACCAACCATCTTTTTGATCCCGCAAGGTCTTCTCTAGCCCCTCAATGCGAATTTTTAGCGCCCGAGCTTCCTCATGTGATGCTTTCAAATCTCGCGTCATGGACTGAATTGTTAGCTTTTGCTGGTGGTTCAGGGCCTGAAGTTGCTCCTCAAGGGTGCCTTGAGACTCTCTCATTTCCTGAACCCGTAATTATGAGTGTTGTACAGAGGATTGCAGAGGCAGATCACAGAAGAGTCCCCTCACCTTAACACCTTTCTCTGTCTGAATCTTTCGGGTTCGTTCTATTGCAACCAAGTGCTCCAATCGTTCGGCTTTCAGTTTCTGCACCCCAGAAAAGCATATCCAGTAAGCGAAGAGTTTCAGTTACGTTGTCTCTCGACAGGATACAGACTTCGGCTCGCATCTGAGCATTCAACGCCTCGCAATCGGTTTCGAGCTTTCTCAGAGTAGCATGCATACTTTCGTTGTCGACTGTCACAGCCGTTAAACGCTTTTGTAGATCATCTTTCGTGCGCTCAACCGAAAGTGACAAATCTCGGGCGGCGGCGATTTCCCTCAGGAGCCGAGCCTTATCAGTCTGAAACAGAATCAATTTAGCACAGAGAAGTAGGCCGATTTGGTCAGTCGCCCCCATGTACCTCGAGATGCCGAATAGCTCGTTCGGCGGTTGAAAGTGCTCTGGAAAGATCTATTCCAAGACACTCAATAAACCTTGAAATGAAATCGCGCCAACCGCAAACTCTTACTGTTGCACTGCTTCTCGTATGCGCCAAGATCGATCCGGGACTGCGTCAATTCCACTCCCGCATCATCCAGTGCCTTTTGGAGCTGTTGAACCCGTTTATCCCGCAGCACCACCTCCATCCGCATGGTATTGCTCTCTTCGGTAAACGTACGCAGGGTAACATCAAGGCGTTCATGCTCGCCGGCGAGCTTTCGATAAGAGGCCACGAGGTGTTCGCGCTCTTGCTCTTTTGTACGGATGAGTTCATCCAAGTATTGGACTTGGCGTTCGCATTCTGCCAACTCCGCTTTGTACCGCTCTCGATCACTGGCAAGCTGGTTGCCCCGTCGGAAAGTTCAATTAGTCATCCCAACACTGGATTTGGGCCAACAGGGTCACGGTCTTACCTCGGCAAGCTCTCCATTCAGAATTTGGTTCTCCTTGCTAAGCGCTGCCAAATCTGCTGCAACGTTTCGCGCTTCTTCGCCACTCCTCTGCGGATAGATGAGATGAGAAAAAGGCACCGTCTCACTCATGTAATGCAACTTCGAATTCTCAGATGAAACATATCGACGTTCTCAGGATACCTGTGCCTCATTCGCCCACTGATCCCTCTCGCGACTCAGTGTATCAACCTGTCTCCGCAAACCATCCAACTCACGATCTTGTTCGTTGAGGTGGTGGTTCAGAACGTCTGTTTGCTCTCGCAACTCAAAAAGATCCTGTTCAGCCCGCAAAGCGTCCTCTTTCATTTTCCCAATCACGGCTTTGAAAGCAAAACAGACTCAGCAATGGCGACATGGACCGAAAAAATCGTATGTCATCAGTCGTACCCTGCAATTCAACGATCCGCTCCGCCTTGCGGTCCAATTCCACTCTTGCTGCATCACGCTCCCTATCTACATCATTAAGCAATTGTCGTTGTTCAGACAACTGCCGAACTCGATCTTCATTTTCCTGTGAAAGGCGGTTCAGCTCAGCTTGCGTTCTTTCGAGTCGGGCTTCCGTTTCGGACAATTTTGACCGATTATCGCGCAGTTGAAATGTCTGAAATGCAGACGAAACGGACGGTGTAAATCTCAGCCTTCCACCAACAATAAATGCTGCAAGGCTCACTTACATCCCGGTCTCGTTCCATCTCCAACTGTGCTATCCGCCTCCGGAGCTGCTCCGCTGTCCTGTCACGCTCAGCAAGCTCTTCCTGCACCCGCGCAAGCTGTCGCTCCAAACTTTTTGCCTTCTCCTCTAAGTCAACCCACTCCTTCTCCTTCCCAAATATCGCTTCTCTTAACCTGGTGCAAAAGGACGCACGCGTCAGCGGGGCTGTCCTATCAACGATGTGATGAAGAGGAAATATTTTACCCTTCACACTCCTTTTCGAGCTGTTTCATAGCCTCATTTGCGCTAGCCCCAGACTCGCGTTGCCTAAGAACCGTCGCCCTAAGATCCCGCTGCAGATTGTCGATTTCTCTCTCCAGCTCTTCGTTACGCCGACGCAGAGCCTCCTCGCTGTTTCTAAGCTTGTTCACTTCTTCGGACTCGTCGTCGTTTGTTTGTATAGCAACCGCCGGCGGAGCAGAGGGACTAGGAGCGCGCGTTTCTCGGAGAGGGCGACTGGGAGAAGAGGACGAACGTTGTCGCAAGAGTTGGAGCTCTTGATTAACCTGCACAGGTTATATTAGTTCTGAATACGCTCTGTAGTGCAAAACGTCACGTCCCACCTGTTCATATAACTGAGCAAGGTTGTCCCGATCAGCTGTGATGATTTCGACATTTGTCTGGACTTCAGAAAGCTGCGCTTCAAACTTTTGCAGCGCAGAAAGGAGGACCTCTCGCTCTCTGAGGAATGGTTATTTCTGAGACAAGCGAGGAGACTAGAATATCCGTCCTACCTCTGCACCGTCTTCAGCTCTTCGGCCACCTTCTGGTTCTGGGAATTCGCCTGCATGGAAAAATTGGATTGTCAAATTGTGGGCACGGTTTCCACATGACCAATCCAGAAGTATGTACCTGCTCTTTCGCCTTTTCCGTTTCATTCAAAGCCCTCGATAGTCGGCTAATCTCAGTCTGCTGCGCTGTGATCTCTTTTTGAAGCGCCTGCGCTCGGGACCTCAGCGAACTCAACTCCGCCTCCATATGACCATATTGATCGACCTTTCACCAGGAAACGGGTCAGTCAGACGCGGAAGCGGGATTTTCTTGCCAAAAAACAGCTGACAGCGGTTTACCTTTTGTTGAAGGTTGCGCAAATCATTTTCCGTGGTCCACTTTTGGCTCTCCACTTCCCGCAACTTGGCTGCCAGTTCTCCATTTTCCAATTCAAGCCGCCTCATATTCTGGATTTGCTTCTCCATTGAGAACCGTGACTGGCCTTCAGTGAGTTATGCAATCACATCATACCTCGGTCAGCAGCGCATCTTTTTGCGCTGATTCCGCGCCACCTTTGGTCTCCGTGCGACTCATAGACTCGCGAAGTTGGGTAATTTCGTCCCGAGCCGTAGAAAGTCGAGCTTCGGCGTCTGAGAGACTGATGGTTAACTGCCGAGTCTCCTGAGCCAGCTCTATTGTTTAGATGCCCTTGGTCAAATGGTGCAGACGAAAAGATTGTTCAAACAAAGAGTTGGCACCCACTGTCGCATTGCGTCTCAAGTACTGCGGATTGTTCATTTGACGACTGCAAGGCCTGTTTATTAGTCTTGAGTAACTCGCTCAACTCCCCGATTCGCTTTTCCTGTTTGCGCAGTCCATTTCTCAGCGCGCGGATCTCTAATCGGGATGTGGCAGCAGCGGCGCATAACGAACCTGGTCAACGGAGAGTTTGTCCATATTCTCCTTGTTCGCCTCTCTCTCCCTGTCTGCCATCAGCCACCCCAGACAACGTCAACC